CATCTTCTTTGTACTTTTTAAGTTCCATTTTCAGTTCTTCTAAAAGTGGAGCCATTTTAAACACTTTTAAACAACCACCCAATTGATTTTAGTCATTCAAATACAATAACCAAAAATCCAGAGATCATCAAGTAATCCAAATAGTCCCAAGCTGTTTCTTCTTATTTCTTTTTCCACTTTCTCTTCCTGGGGTTTTTGTTGCGATGTTTCAGCTAAAATGTATCTTTTGGAAGTCTTGTTGAGATTTTGCTGTAAGTTCTTTTTAATTCCAGGCAGTCTCCTCCCTTCCAGATCCTGCCCTTTTATTCTTTTTCTCTCCTTTCCTGTTTTCAAAAGCTTTTGATTATCCAGAAATCTTTATTATCCCTTTGACTTTTTATTTTCAGCATTAAATGGCTATTAATGTCAAAGTGGATTTTTTTCCAATTTCTTGCTTAAGTCTCTTAGCTGTCAGTATAGGAAAAGGAGAAAAAAAAACCAAATCTTTTCCCTTTTCTCTCTCCTTCGCAGCTTAAAAATCTTCTTAGGGAACAATGTTATTGTTTTTTTTTTAAATAGTTTCAATTCCAGGGTACCTTATTTGTTGCTTTTGCTGTTTGACCCGGTCAACCAAAACTTTCTCTTCTTATCTTCCTCCTGCACATTCTTTTCCGGTCGAGTTCTTCTTTGTGGTGGCCATTTCTGACCACCACTACAACCGCCTTCAGGAAAGGGAGTAATGGCCAGCTGGGGAGGAGAGATGTGGCTCTCCTCAACCCTGCAGGCAGTCTCCCCTTCTTCACCACCTCTACGGGGTGGCTCGGGGAGCTCCAGCGGCAAGCACGATTCGAAACCTCACAGAGACGAGGCTTCGGTCTGTTGCCGAAGAAGCTCAAACCGGAAGTCCCACAAATAGCATATTGAACCAACGGAAGTATGTTGTGGAGAATAAATAAGATAGGTGCTGATATTTCATGCTAGCAATATTCAAGCCATATGTAGATTTACTCAAGGTATTGATTCCACTATTTTCATTGGACCCTTTTTCCAAAGAAGCTTGCATGAAATTGTAAGCCTTGCTTATTTCTTTCCAATTGCTACAAGAAAGAGAATATCCTACAAAATGTATGAGCTAGTTTGGTTTTGAGCTAGTTTGGTTTGGTTTTTGTAATATTCCATCTTCACTCTGGATCCTTTTTTTTTTTAGGAAATAATGAGAAAAAGCTTAAGTTAACTGTCCCAAAGGTGTTTTTTCAAGAGGCAACTGGACTTTCTTGGTTTTTGTTTTTGAATATGTTTCGCTTCTCATACCAGAAGCTTCTTCAGCTCTGACTGGATGATGGGAAGGGGAAGGATTAATGCTCCTTGCAGACAGCTGGTCATTTGCATCCTTTTAGAGAGTCGTTGAGGCCACTTGGAGGTCTGTGTCCTCAGGGCCACCCGAGTGGTGCAAATGGGTGTGGAGCCTTCTTGGAACTGCTGAAAGGAACTGTAGAACCCTTTAGAGTGAGTCTGAGGACGCAGATAAATCTCCATATGGCCTCAACAATTCTAAAAAGACGCAAATGACCAGCTGTCTGCAAGGTGTATAAATCCATTCCCCTCCAGTCAGAGCAAATCAGTTTCCTTCTACACGAAACCAAAAATCTTCTCCAATTAAGTTGTTCTCACCAGAGTGGTTTGATAGTTGCAAATCCTCTCAACCAGAAGTGGTTAAAATGTTCTAGACAGAATGCCCAAAATGAAATAGATTCATTTTAGAACTGAATGAAACACTTTGGCATGTTGATTAACAGCTCAGAACAAGTGCTTTTCAATCAAATGTAATCAGCCTGAACTTTGATAATGGTACAGCATCAACACCTTAACCATTTATTCACATTACACGGGAATTATTTTTTGAGTAGACTCAAAGATTACCGCTAGTAGTTAACTTTTTTATTTTTTTGATGGTTTAAATTTTGCTTCCAGGGTGGTTTGCTTTAGGTCCGGTTTCACAATTTATTTTCGTGGGATTTTTAAGAGGGGATCGATATTTTTGAGTTGTTCAACAATGAAATGTGTGAGATAAAAACGACAATGTTGTGTTTCCGGGACAGACTGAAAGTGACATCTTGCTACGCTCAGAACTTGAGGAAGTACAAGCTCAACATTCAGCCAAGTTTAAGCTGTGGTACACGTTGGATAGAGCTCCTGAGAGTAAGTAATCCAAGGTGGAGTTATAAATTGGAAGATGCTACAATATTCTTAGGGACGCGGTGGCTCAGTGGCTAAGACGCTGAGCTTGGTTGATCAGAAAGATCGGCAGTTCGGCGGTTCGAATCCCCAATGCCGTGTAACGGAGTGAGCTCCCGTTCCTTGTCCCAGCTTCTGCCAACCTAACAGTTTGAAAGCACGTAAAAAATGCAAGTAGAAAAATAGGGACCCGCTTGGTGGGAAGATAGCAGCATTCTGTGCGCCTTCGGCATTTAGCCATGCTGGCCACATAACCACAGAGATGTCTTCGGACAGTGCTGGCTCTTCGGCTTTGTAACGGAGATGAGCACCGCCCCCTAGAGCCGGAAATGACTAGCACAGATGTGCAAGGGGAACCTTTACCTTTTACAATGTTCTGCTTAGTGGCTGAATAACATAGCCCTGTAAAATTTTCTTGGAGTCACATCTAATTTCTGATGGCCGTGTGGTTTCCCGCTGTATCCAATGTTTTTCCAGCTCACTACCCTAGTTTGCAATTCTAGGAATTTCCCATCCAGATATTAACCCATGATTGACATCAGTTAAGTTTTTAAATCAAACTCTCATCTGTTTGGGATGGTTACCTACCATAGTCTCAGAGCTTGACTTCTTCAGTATAAACTTAACTTCTGGGGATCTATTAGAAGCCTCCATATTGTTTTCTTGGCAAGTCTTCAAGAGATGATTGACAGTAGATTCTTCTGGAACTGAAACATCTGCTAGAAAACAACCAAGCTCTGAGAGCACCAAGGACCCCACAGTCCTTCTCTCCTTTTCTTTCTCCTCCAATCCACAAACTTCACTTCTTTCTAGCCCTGATAATGTTACCTAGTTGGGTCATGAAAAAAAACTAGAAAAAAACCTACCACATAGAGAGGACCAAGGGCCCTGAACTACAGATACTTTCTTCTATAAAACCCAGTTTGACTTAAACCAACTAGGGAACCCTTTTCAGATGGGCAATTTGTTTAATGACTGGCCCCTTTGATTAAACATTGAAGAGTACCATTGAGAGAAATTACAGCTAAATGTAGCGCTGGGTGTCTCAACCCCAAAGAGCAGTAGAGAGCCACAGGTGTCTCATTAAAAGCGTTCTGGGTACAGAGTGATCCAAAATTTGCCCACAGCAACCTCAAACCATTTCATACTTATTCAGGCAGGTCCGTTCTAGTGGTAGGATTCCAAATTGCGTGCCACCGGTTCTGTGCACTTTGTGCATGCAGCACTCAAAAGTTTGCACTTGGTGAGGTGAGCTGTTCTTTAGCTCAGCTGAGGCGCGGAAATCTGCTCTGCTGCACAAATCAGCTGAGCTAAAAATCAGTGGAATAAAGGGCAGGAAAATAAGAGGGCGGTGGGTGGGGCCAGCCAGAGGTGGTATTTGCCAGTTCTCCGAACTAGTCAAAATTTCTGCTACCGGTACACCAGAACTGGTCTGAACCAACTGAATACCACCTCTGGTCTGTTCATGGCAGAAAGTTTGCAAGTGCAAATTAGCTGTTCTAGTTTTTAGAGTCATAAACATGCCCACCGTACTGTTCAATCATGAGAAAGAGATGAAACTAATGGAAGGTACTGTAGATGAAGAAACATTTTTCCGCCCATCTATTTCAAAGCCCCCTTTGAAGATCCTTAGTGCAAGGGTCGCCAACCTTTTGGACCTCAGGGACCACCAAACTCATAACTTTAAATCCCGCGGACCACTAATACGAATTTTAACTGAAGGTGGCTTGCTGATGTTGGTGGGAAAGTTGATCCTATATTCCAGAGCTGCAGGAGTCACAGGACTGGCCCTTTGGTCATCCTGGAGCAGCTGCTCCTCCACCTGGGTGCACTGGCCTGCCATGGACTGGAGGAGCTGCTCTGGGGTGACCAAAGGGCCAGTCCTGTGACTCCTGCAGCTCCGGAATATGGGACCGACTTTCCCACCAACATCAACAAGCCACCCCAGGGTGGATTTCCTTCCCCTGCCATTGGTCTTACCTTCCAGCTCCAGCTCGCATGGCTCTACTGAAGGTAAGGTTTGCGCTCAGCCGAAAGCTGGGGGCCAGCAGGTGGACGGTGCAGCCTTGTGTTCCCGCACAGCCAGGATTAATTGCTTTGGGGGGGTCATTTCTCTGTGGACCATAAAAACTTTCTCATGGACCACCAGTGGTCCACGGCCCACCAGTTGGTGACCACTGGTTTAGTGCATCTCATTGCTTTTTGGTTTGTTTGAAAGAGATAATAAGAGAAACGTGATCTTTCCCAACACAGAGTGGGATTACAGCCAAGGCTTCGTGAACCAAGACATGATCAAGGAACACATGCCTCCACCCCAAGAAGATGACGTTCTCATCCTGATGTGTGGCCCACCGCCGATGATCCAGTACGCCTGCATTCCCAACCTGGAGAAATTGGGTTACACCAAGGAGATGTGGTTTACTTACTAACTGGGGGTCAGGATAAAGTAGAAAGGGGGAAGTAGGGGGAAAGAAGGAACAGAACTTTGGGGAATAACCGGTAACGGAAACTAACTGAGTAAACAGAGGCGGAACCAATCTTCAGAGGAATTCCAACTTGCGTCACCTTGTGTCTTTCTAACCTGGCAAGCAGAAGCCTCAGCTAGACTGATTAACCGTGTTGTAGATCTTACTCTTTGCTTTGCTGTGTGTATCAAATCTGTCCCTAAGGCAATGAAATGAAGTTTGGCTTTTTTCACCCCCGGATGGGCAAATGTAGCTAGGCACCCTTTTCGCCAAAGAGTGAGTTGGAAACTCCAAGTGAAGAGGTGAAGGAAGCAACTTCACCCTTCCTGCTTTTTCTGCACCAAAGTTTTAAATGCGCACCTGTCTTGCACCACCATATATGTTTGGTGTCCTCCTTCATTTGCAAGTGGTTGGGGGCAGGGGGAGAAATTGCTCCACCGGCCAACCTACAGAAACATAATCGTCTAAAAGGCAGGGGATAGATTGGTTCTGTCCTTCCCAAAGTACGGACATAAAAGAATGAGGTCCCAATCTTGAAATTCTTAAACCCATAGGACAGAAATGAGGAGTCGGCCTCTACTCTTCTTTTGGGCCTTTGTCTGGGGACAGAATTCGCAGCTGGGCTTTGCATAGGATGGAATAAGGGTGCGTATACGGGAGATTCCCTAAACCTACCGTTGTCCAAAGGATGGGCCTAAAGACAGAGACGTCTCCCAGAAACTTCCACTGGGAAAAATAAAAAGAATGTCAATTTGGTTTGGAGGGGTTGAAAGGTGGACGATGGGATAGCCTGTTAGTGAATGAGAAGAGTCTATAGGCCTGCTTATATTTTAAGTACAGTAAAGGGTGTATCAATCTAAAGGAATTTCTTTGTCTCTTATCCCAACTTTCTGTTGCGTCATTCTATTATTCTACCGCACTGGCCATCAGTGGTCCTTCTTTAATTAGCTAAACACATACCCATATTTATATATATATATGTAGAGGTAGCTCAGTTACAAAATATATCCGTGTATTGTTTCAGTAGCCACTCATGCTGTCTGGGGAATTCTGGGAGGTTGAAGTCCACCTAGTTTAAACAGACCAATTCTGGGTGTTGAAGTCCACCTAACTTAAGCAGGCCAAAAAGTTGATTTGGAGTCCACCTAACTTAAGCAGGCCAAGGTTGAGAAAACACCACACTAGATTCTTCGCTCAACTGTCCTCCTGCCGCAGAAAATAAAAAGTTTATATTGTGCTCCTTTTTGCTTAATGCGAATAAAACAGCCTTTTACCTTTTACTAACCGTGTGGAGGCTGAATAACACCAGATTTCTTCATAACAAACTGGTTTTTGTATTATCTGCCTACTCAGCTCTTTGACTTTTTTCAACTTTTTGTGGTAGAAATAAAACTCTTTCCTCCCCCTCCCTTAAGATGTCTTGTGAATTCTTTTGATTTGATTAATGTTGCGTTAAAATCAGTTGGAAGGCTCTTTTTGCTCTCCTGTTTCGGTGTCCGGCGCTTTTACACAACCGCTTGCAAAATGAAAAGTGCTATCATAACTTCAAACGATCACTAAGCGAACTGTTGTAAGTCAAAGACTTACCTGTAGTTGTTTCCATCAAAGGGAAAAGGAGCAATTTTTTTTTAAAAAAATCCTGTAACCTCCAAGCACCCTGTGAGTGGCGAGTATTTAGAAAACAAGAATGTGAGTTATAGATGGGTGGTGCAGTGGCCTAAAGGCAGAACATTCTCCTCACAATCAGGATGATGCGAGTGTTCTGACCCAGGCTTCCTCCAAATTAAGGAAACAAACTGAGTGTAAAATCAAACTTATTTTAATGCGACGCTGGTAATTGGTTGCATTCCCAGCCAAAACTTATTAGACACAATTCCCTGAGATAAGCTCACGCCTTTCAGGGTTGTGGAAGGCTGCCAAGAAACAGAAGTCCAATTACGAGAATATAAATCAGCAGAAGTTCCAGCAAAGACAAACCAGAGTTCGCAGGTTTTCAATGAGGAATCGGAATCTAACGAACTTCTTTGCTTCCTGCAAAGCTCTTCGTCACTGAGGGCTGTTATCCCTGATGGAAGGGGCCATCACCTCCCAGCCTTACTCCCGAGTTGCTTCAGCTGCTCTTGCTTTTTAGCAGCTCTGCACACATGCGCACTTGGGAACAGGCTTCCCTGGGTCCTCTTCCTCACTGCTGCCAGACTCCAAAAGACCGAAGGCAGCACCCCACTCCCACATGGTCCTGGCCCCATCCCTGCATTGGATGGAGGACCCTCGTCCGAGTCCTCTCCAGAGTCCCTGACTGGTTCCCTTTCGTCCTCACTGTACGATACCTCTGCCTGCTGCCAGCGAACCACAACAGTGAGTACAATCCTAGGTAGAGGCAGATATTTCTCTCTGAGCACACTGAGAATATATCTGCTGAACAAAACTCCGTATTGGCAACAGGAAGGGCATCCAGCTAGTAAATATTCCGCTAGCTCCATTCAGTTGCCCAGATTCCACCCTGCAAGGGATTATGGGGCTGCTAAAAGAGAATGATGAGTGTGAGTTATAGATGGAGATTACAAGAATCTATTTTGCAAAAGAAGACAATAGTAAAAGGACACTAAAAAGAACCTACATGAATATTTTGACAATAACTTAGGTAAAGGGACAGATTTAGCAATTGTCTGGGAGGCTAGTAAAGTCGTTATGAGGGGTTACTTTATACAATATAATCGAGAGAGGGAAAATCTCTGGAAAAGATGCAAAAGATATATAGGACACCATTAGACAGAAATCGAATTGTATAAGACTTAAATTTTTTCATCAAATCAATTTATTACACCAACAACCGTCCATGCAAACAGTTCAAGAAATAGAAGTAACACTGAATTATGTGAAGCAAAGACATTTTGAGTTTGGAAACAAACCAGGAAGATGGTTGGCATATAGGCTTAAGAAAGGAAAAAAGAGAAGAAGAAAAAAGTATTTTCTTTTAAATTAAATTGCTTAAGTTTTGTTTTTAAATTTTTCTGAAAAAAGGTCCCATTGATACTTTGGCTTGTTTTTTAAGGGTCTTGATGAAAAATTATATCCCGCACACACACATAAGGATTCGACTATTACAATTCTGGCATACTGCTGTGGAATATTTCACCATCCTTTTTTCTGCAATCACATTTTCCAACAGAGGGAAAAAATGACTCCAGCATTCCAACTAATCTGATTCAAAGCCAGATCTGCCTTCTCTTCCAAGTTAAAAATAATAATAACCTGGAATGACTTTCCCCTTCCTCCCCATTTCAATCCGATGAGTTGTTCGGAGAGAGCAACTCAACTCTTATAACATTCCTAGGGAATGTATGAATCACAGCTGCGGTGTGGTTATTTTGGTAGCCATGCACAACACACAAATACAGAATGTGGATCAGGGTCTCTGCAATTAATCCCTTTTGTTGCAAAACCAGGTTATAGAAGAGAGAGCCAATCATAGGCCGACACTCCGTACAGGATTTGATAGCTCTTAGTGCAAAGAACTTGTGGCAAAAAAGTTTCCATGGATGTTTAGAAAATAAAGTTCTTACTTTCTCACCAAAATGGTGTTGCTACCCTGTTTTCCCAAAAATGCTACCTACCCTGAAAGTAAGTCCTAGCTTGATTTTTACATGTGCACCCAATATAATCCCTACCCCCCCTCCAAAAAAAATAAGCCCTAGTTAAGATCCCACCCACTCCAGAGTGGATGGGTAAAAAGCCAGGTGGGGATGGAGAGTGGTGGAGCTGCCCTACTACTTAACTTTGGACAGTTTTGGCCAGGCCTTGCACACCGAGACACCTGCCTTGCTGGCCCTTCTGCAGCCGGTAAGGCTGCCAAGGCTTTCCTGAAGGCCTCTGGAGCTGAGAACAAAGCTCTGGTTCAATCCAGAGCTCTTTTATCAGCTGCAGAGGCCTTCAAGAAAACCTTGCTAGCCACAGAAGAAGTTCCTGAAGGCCTCTGACAGCGAAAAGGAGGCCGGGGCGATATGTGCAAGTGAGGTTAGTCAGTGGAGGACTTCCCCCGAAAATAAGACCTGGTGCCTTTTTTGGTGGCAAAAAAAATGATAAGACAATGTCTTTTCGGGGAAACAGTAAGTGCCACGATTATTTACATGTCCTCAATTTATTAAATGGAGACGAGAGGGTATTTCCAAAGGACCTTTTCTCTGTCTGCGGCTATCTGCATTTCAGAATAAACTGTGTACCCTACTATGGCTCTATGACTTGGGAATGCCTCGACTTACAACCATTCGTTTAGTGACTGAAATTACAACAGGCACTGAAAGAAGTGATTCACACAACTGTTCTTCACACTTATGACCATTGCTGCAATTTTTTTTATTCTGAGACGCAGATCGCTGCAGACAAGAGTTTTTAATAATCAAGGATGTGCAAATAAATAATCCAGGCATTTAGGAATGCCACTCAATGGTCACGTGATCCAAATCCAGATGCTTGGCCACTGGTTCCTATTTATGACGGTGGCAGCGGCGCCGGGGCTCACACAATCCCCTTTTGTGACCTTTTGAAGAGCAAAGTCATTAGGGAAGCCAGATTCACTTAATGACCGTGTTACTAGCTCAACAGCAGCAGGGATTCACTTAACAAATGTGGGAAGAAAGGGCATAAAATGGAGCAAAACTCACTTAAGAAATGTCTTGCTTAGCAACAGAAATTTGGGGCTCCGTTGGGGTCAAGGACAGGTTTTACACAAGCCCATCAGGTATTATGTTGTAAGAATACGCTCCATCGCGTCCATGGGATAAATTGTAGTTTGGAATGTTGGGGCTCGCAGAACTGAAACCTGGAACCTCTCTTAATGCCTGAAAACTCAATTCTGACAAATGCAGATTGTCCTCGACTTACGGCCACAAGTGAGTCCAAAATTTCATTTAAGTGAGTTTTGGCCCATGTTATGACCTTATTCTTGCTGTCAGGGATCGCTCTAAAGTCCACGCATCATCTCATAGTTCCATCTTTTTTTTTTCCTTTGAACAGGACTGGGGCTGCAACCCATGGTTTGGCTGGCTCGATGAACCCTCTTGCTAAGTTTTTGTCTATGTATTGCCGCATTTCTTGAATTTCCTGGGGCATCATGGCATGTACATTTTGGGTTTTGGTTTCATAGTTAGGTCGTCTGTGGGTTGATCTTGCCGATCACAGTGTTGTCGTCTGGTGATTACTTGGGCAGCTATTTGGGTAGGGGCGAAGATGGCATTTACGACCTCCTCCCGTTCGCATTTGTACTGGGGCATGCGGGAGAGGGCGTCAGCCAGAAAGTTCCTCCCCCTGGGGTGTGACATATAGATACATATACACATATATATGTCTTGTGAGTTCTACTACTGCCTTAGACATGAAAGCTGGGTGAAATTAGGTACATTGAGTTATCTTTAACAATCTAATAAGTAAAAAAGCATAATTCATTTTATTTTTCAGTAGGTTTTTATTTCTTTAACACAGCAATACATATACTTCCACTGACCTCGTTTTACACAAAACACCCCAACAAAATACCATAATGATATTTCATTTTGTGTGCATTTATATAAACCCCTTGGCTTAATTAAGAGCCTTATATTACTCTCCCCAGACCCGTAGTAATAAAAAGAACTATTTTCCTAACCAGAAAAAAAAAGACAGCCATATTCATCATAAGTAAAAATTAATATATCTGATTCTCTTCATAATGCACAACAGCTTTTCAATTTTTTAAAAAAAAAACTGGTTTCATTGCGATTTGATTCTTTGGATTAATGTGATTTTTGCATCTGAGCTTAATTCTTAATTTTCTGGGCCTTTTTTTATCCAAATAGTGCAAAAATTTGTTTTTAGAGAGCAGAAGATAAAATTTTGTATTAGATTAATTTTACCAAGTTACCAAGCTGATAGGGGCAGTGTTTTGCTTTTAACTAAAGAAGTGATCCTCCTCAATTCATAAGTTACCTTTATTTACAAATGTTGCCTTCTCTTCCTTTGAACAAGCTCATGAACCCAGTGAAACCAAACAGTTGTGACTCAATTTAGAAAATTATTAAGGGAGTCCTTGCTGCGTATGGAGGAAGCTTTTCGAGACTTTAAAAAGGCAAAAACCGATTATTTTATAGAGCAACAGCACCATAAAGTTTTAATCATGGTTCCAACTGTGAATAAATGTGCATGTGGCAGAAATTCTTAGATTAGCACCAATTGGCAAAGAATTCAATTTCCAGCCTATCTCAAAACAAAACCAAAGCTCATCGCAAGCAGAAAAGGAAAGGCAGCTACCATTGAAAAATTAACATCTCAGGAAACACAAGACTTGATGAGATAAAATGTTGGAAGTCTTTATCCAACAGAAAATACTACATTCCCAAGAACTGAATGGATGAGGTTCAGCTGAACAGATCCA